TTTTAAATCAAAAACAAAGCAAATTAATTTGATCACCAGACTTATTTAGGTATCTAATATTTCGATAACATTTCTTCAAATTCTGTGCAAATAAATAAAGAAACACGAGAACCTAAATAATTATATTATAAAAGAATTCAACTAACATGTAATTGCAATTATCATTTATAGTTTTTCTAAATAATAAAATATGAGTGCTTTATTTAAACGAAAGCACTTTCACGTGATTTTGTTTGAGAGTTTTCTGTTGTCATATCGTTATATTAAGTTTTTTTTTTGTGACCTATAGTTATTTATTTATTTATTTATTGATAGTTATCTTGGAAATAAGACTAATACGAAATATAAGACTGTAAACTTAACTTTTAAATAAAGAAAATTACTTTAAAATGTGTATTCGAACATATCGAAACTCTTTGAACAATTATGTTTGTAAGTATAAAATTGTATATGTTTGTATAATTTTAACCTTTTCACTGAGTCAGAGAGTTGGCGCTTAATGCAGGCAAAGTGTCTCCATGTTAAATAATTGAGTCTGGCTTGGAATCTATGCTGCAGTACTTCGGAACTACAACTACAAGTATAATTAGATATATACTTAGTCATCAGAACCTCTTGTAACACTTATATTGAGCTCGAAACTTATTCGAGAGTAATACCTGTAAAGAGTTACAAAAGCGAGTGACTTCAAGATAGTGTAGAGCTATTTATTTCATAATGGGATGTCAATTGCAACGCAATTTATGAACGCATTAATTTATATTAGCTTATCGCTTTATGTAATTATTCGACGGCTTTATCGATTAAGTGATGGTAATTATACAAGGAAAAATATACCTACATTATGTAGATACTTTTAAGTATTTTATGCCGCAAACGGTACTCCAGCAAAAATAGGCGCATTATTCTCTGGCCTATTAAACGTTTTGTAAAACGTGCAACGAAAAGAAAAGTCGTTTGTCTTCGCCTAATTAGCGTCAGGTGAACTAGTTGCTGAATAAAACAGCGTGACTGAAAGTTTTTCTAGAGCAAAACAAAAATAAATGTACGATTGATTATATTACATTAAAACATTATTCTTGTATGTGGCTGTTTGTAAATACGGTCGGGCGGGCAATTGCGGGTCATCATTGGGCAATCAACCTCGCTAAATGAAGATTTCCTGTTGTTCTGAGGTCTCTTGTCGGCCGCGGAGGTGACATCACTCAACGTGCGCGCTACATTTTCCTCTTAACGTTTTCCTTACACCACGGACATATACTTACTATTGTTATAAGTAATACGGCCCATATTGTATAAAAATATCTCAATTTACCTCATAATTTTATACTAGTTTTCCTTTTATGTCATCCTATGACTTCGCACATTTGAGGTTTATGAGCAACAAACAAACTCATTTTTGTATTTACGTACCTGTAGAGGTACAATATTGTACGATCAGAGTCTTATTGTGTTATATAAATTTAATTCTGTACCATAAGTTGCAGTAGCAACTGGATGTTGGTAGGATGTATAGCAATATAAGCTGGTTCTCTTTAGTCTTCTTTATGGAATTGAATATAAAATTGAATGTACTTATTACCTATAGGCTTACTTTAATTGTCTTTTAATAATAGACAGCATACGTATATTTTAATAAGTTGAAAAATTATACTAAATTAATATTGCATGTAGTTTCTTAATTCATTGTTTCAGAACAATAAACCAATTAATAGGGTAGTTTCGTGTATATTTTTTAATGTTCGTTCAGTAACACAACACGCCTTTTATGCCCGAAGGAGTAGGTAGAATGTGCACATAAAAGTAACATCTACTTTTCACTATTTATGTTATTACTCCCATGTAATAGGGGGTGAGCCTATTGCCATATAACGGGCACAATTCCAGACACCGTGCTACGTTTTTTTGATTCCTTACAAAATGAAATACTTTCGACGTTATATTGATTTGAAATATCTTGTAACGTCACGAGTTGCGACGATTTATAGGAACGTGTGACGTAGCGACCTCCCACTCCTGAACTTAAGGACGTTTCATCTAAGTATTGTTATCTTGTACGACGAAATAAATATACGTGTCCAATATTTTTCATTATTTAACTGACGAACTAATTACATATTAAATTTTAAGGCTGCAGGTTAAATAAATTGCAATGCAAAATTTTAATTATATATCAATAAATCGTGATTTCAGTTAAAACTAATGTTAATGTAATTATTAATTACTCAAGCTAATATGATCATAATTTGAATTCGTGTTAATTATTTATAAAATCGACATGTGCTTTTAATAAACTCAATCTCTGAATATAATATATGTAGTGTAGGTATCATTAAATTATTAGTTTTATTATATCGAGGGGTAACGGGCTATTTGGTTTAAGCGACATTTTTGCAACTTTACAGGAGAGCCTTTTAAAGTTTGAAATTTCGAAAAAAAATTCATAACAAAAACGCTTCTGCAGATATTTGAACGGGGTAAATTGCATTGAAATTTAAATAAAAATATCTAGTTGCTGATGCTAATTCCAAATAAAGCGGACCTTTAATTACAAAGATAAATGTCGCTTAATACAATCTGCCCTTTTTTAGAGTCAGGAAAAATGATTTAAGTGACTTCATGACTACAATTGGCTACAAGGGAAAAAAATTAAGCGACGATGCACTCTATTTACAGAGTAAGCCAAAAAGTATGAAGTAACGAAACCCAAAATAAATAGAAGCAAGCTATTTATCTCAACTACCAATTTAGACTAAAATGAGTAACAGGCTAATTTACTTATGTGACATATAACATTGAAATTGTATCGTTAAATGTTTATGTTTATTTACATCTAAGACGATTAATGGCTGATAAAACAACCTGGATATATCGAAACAACCAAAAATCTCAGGTGCTTACATCGGATAAATAAACACAACACAATATCAAAGTATTTATTTAGATTTATAATAACAGTCTCCATAGAAACAACGATTATATTATTATTTATTCAGCTAAATCAGATAAATTAATGGGTTATTTACTGAAATTGCCGGTTTGTATGAAAAAATTCAAACGATTTTTTTCATGTATTTTTTATTTGTATTTATCGAAGTAATCACCCATGTAATCAATGCATCGTTACCAACGCAGTGGCAGTTTATTGGGTATCAATAAACTGCCACAAAATACTTCTTAAACAAATCAGCTGGACGGGTGGCAACAAATTCTTTAAATGCATTTTGTACTGCCTCTCGGGTAATGAATTTTTTTCACGCGAAGAAGTTATTCAAATTCTGGAAAAGAAGTAGTCTGGTGAGTAGGGTGGATATTGGAGAGCTTCCAACCCCAGTTCTTGTAACTTGGAGACCATCTGTTGTGCAGCTTTAGGTCGCGCGTTGTAATGCAGGAGCAATGGAGATGAGCGATTGACCAGTGCTGGTTGGAGATGTGTCAGCTTCTCCATCATTGTGTTCAGTTCTTCACATTACACATCCGCAGTAATGCTCACTCCGTTTGGTAAGAACCTGTGATGAATCAGACTGGCGCTAGACCATCAGTGACCATCACTTTTCTAGGAGTAAGTTTTCGTTTCGGGTATTGTTTAGGTGCTGAACTAACTACTACTACAACTATGTTGAGCAGTGCAAGGCACTGCTCGATGCATACTTAGCTCTGGCGATCATTGAGTTTGTGGGACACCCACTTGTCAAGTTTTTTTACCTTGCCAATTTGACGTAAATGGACCAATATTGTTTTGATGCTAACGTCGAAAGCTGTTGCTAAATCAGCCGTAGATTGTATGTCATCAGCTTCCACAATAGCCTATTGTCACCAAAGTCTTCGGACGACCGCGAGGTTGATCTTGAAATTAAAGTACTTAGGATTCAATTTCGATGAGCGTTTTACGTAAACACTGGCGGTGAGTGCGCGTCCCGTCTGTCTTCGACGCATTCTGGAGTGACTGAAGCGCCAGCGCACGATAGTCCAGTTGGATGATCACGATTTTTAACACCCGGGCGATGAAATAAATATAGTATCATATGACATGATTGAAATGTACCATATTAAAATTTAGTGATTTAAAGACCGATTCATATTTTTATGAATACTGGCAAAATGTTTCAATATCCATTATTAATGTTATCATCTGTATAAAACGACATGCATTTTAAAAAAAAGGAGGGCTAAATGATTTATGACTAAACAAAATATCTGAACGAAAACGACTATTTGGTTTAAGTAGCACCCTGCGTGGAAAATAAAAGCAGCTAGAAGTGTTTAAGAGACGAACCATGTCGTATTTGGGTGACGGATAAATGTTTTAAGCGACAACACACCGTGTGATTAGTGGGAAGTCAAAATGATTCAAGTTACTTGCTAGTAAAAATTAGAAACAGGAAAAACGCTTTAACTCATTTTGACTTATTAATTAGAGATAGGGTGACTGGTTTATGTCTCGGTTATTAATATGATGGTATGGTTCAAGTACATAATTTAATAAAAAATGCGAAATCCATGTCGTTTAATACACTGTCACTTTGGAAACAACACGAAAATAGAATTGTTTGAAACGCCAAAAAAGTGCTCCGATTTTAATGAAACCGGCATCAATCGACGGAGAAAAATTCGCTGATTCCGAATATATATATAACTCAATATCGCCCAAAATGTCGCTTAAACCAAATAGCCCGTTACCCCTCGATATAAACATGTAGTATAATAATTAACAAGAATAGTGGTCGGCTTTGTTTTAATTATTGTTATACGTGCTTATTTTACATTATGTAGTTATTGTGAGTGCTAGGGCAAAACAAATTCGCAATTATAAACGAATAGCTTCAATGATCTATTTCGTTGGTTGAGGTTATAGATTTTTAGATCTCACAGCACACCAGGTTATAGTTAATATTACCTAAATTTTTGTCTATGCCTACTTCTTGAAATACTATGAGAGTTCATAACAGTATAAAGTAGGTGAACTTAATTAAAATGAAACTGAAAATGTTATTTAACAATATTTATTTTAAATTATTGAGTAAAGTATTGCATTATCGATAACATTAATTATAAATAATGTTATGGTTATTCACTCTTCCCAGACTCTCGCATTTCCTTACGAAGGTTTATGAGCATAGTTGATAGAAGGCAATTACTTTTTCTTACTATATGTTCAGATTTTTTATTGACATTACATACCTGACTTAATTTTTTAATTTGCATATATTATGTAAAACGTCCATTGTTATTATAATATAAATTAAAGACTTGTACAACAATAAATCAAACTTTATAGGAAAATGTTTCCGTATTTCTTAAGAAATACTAGTACAATGTGTACGATAAACACAATTCTCTTACTTAAACACACAGATTTTAAGCATGTAAGAGTCTGAGAGAGAAATAATACCTTCATAGTTTCATATAAGGTAAGTAGTAAATGTTATCGGTGGGGTTTTACAGCTTATACGTAGATTTCCACCTGGTAGTTGAGTCCTGAGCCCCGTTCGCTCTTCAGCCTGATGTTAGCGTAAGAGAAGCCCACTCCTCCAGCTGTGACACTGGGAATGGCCTCAGTGTGGTCCAAGTCTCGTAGGATTATACCCTGGAAAAAGGAAAATTTCAACTGTTATTAAATCTTATTATGCGAAAGTTTGTGCGGATGTGTATGTGTGTGTGTGTATGTGTGTGTGTATGTGTTTGTTACTCTTTCACGTCCAAACGTCTGAAGGGATTGAAATGAATTTTGGAACAGGGGTAGATTATGATCTTTAATAACATATAGGCCACTTTTTATCATACGGGAACGCGGGCGAAGCCGCTGTCAGAAGCTAGTACTCTATAACATATTTATGAATCGCTAAATCAGTTTCATGTCAGTACTATGTAATGATAGTTGGAGATTATTCGTACAAGAATAAAAATAGGTACCGTATGATACCCGGTCAACTAGTTCACATATACATCGTTAATTTATATAATTCCAAAATAATATATTATTTAGTTTACAAATTATATATACATAATCTAAAATGTGTTTTTTGAACAAAGTAATGACTACGTTAATGAATAAAATAATTCAAACGGCGAAGTACGCAAGAATTGAACTACAGCACATAATTACATTCATGGAAATTGTGTTGAATTCTATAACGCACGCGTTTAGCGAAGCTTGACTGCCCATCTGAATAGTGGTTAAAGCCGCCATAATAGTTGGACACCTACAAAACCAAGAGATGTTCCGACTCGTTGCCGACTTTAATTTGGCGCGCTTTCAGCTTTTTCAGTGTAAATAGTTGTGAATGATGTTTTGTGCCTTTAAATTTATGTTCTAACTTAAATCTAAATCACGAATGTTTATAGTTGTGAAATTAATGAGTCATGTCATTCTGTTATTTTTTTTTGGAACGTGTTTGCATCATATACTTACGCAACTGAAGACGTAATTGGCAGAAAACGTTAAGTACGCAGAAAAATTATGATTTTAATGCCTACTCAATAAATATCAGATATGCATGTATGTGCGTGTTTTATATTGCTTATAGCAATATTAAATAAATAAACGTGTCTGGCGTAACGATGAGTCGACGATCTTTGTCTGTTGCGTTTCTATTCTCAGCACTTTTTTACATGCATTACTAACAAAACAAATAAGTAGTATAAAGGTATTATGTATAGATATGATTTTCTTTTAAGTTTTATTGGGTTTTAAATTTTTATATTATTAGGGTAATTCGTATTAGATTATTAATTAGACCTTAAGAGCTTAGATTTTAATAGATAGCAATTTGAAAACAGACAGCCTCGTTAGCCGAGTGGTCGTAAGTGCGTGTGCCGTGTGCCGGCAAGGAGTATCGGGTTACTACCAGGTCGACTACCAGGTCGGGCAAACTATTACTGGTTTTTTTTTTACAAAAATACCAGTAGTAGCACGGAGTCTGGAATTGTACCCGGTATATGGCAATTGGCTCACCCCCAATTACATGGGACTCATAATATAAATAGTGATGAAAAGTGGGTGTTACATTGCACAGTGGCATTAAGTGCCGTAATGTGCACCTCTGCATACCCCTTCGGGGATAATAGGCGTGATATTATGTTATGGAAAGAGACTTATGTATTGCATTAGAAACGTACAGAACTCCTGTTGGTACGTAGTTACCTACTACACAAATCTCTCAAATACACAACGCACCTAAACTCGTAATAACAACCTGTGGGTCAAATATTGATTGCGTGCGAGAATCGAAGCTGAGCCAATCATATCCTCATATTCTAGGTAGACAACCAGTCTATTTTAACTAAGGAAAATAATAATTTTCATTTGTTTTTAAATCACTGTCCGAAGGGATTTTTATTTTTCCTAAAACTTAATGTGTTTATGGTTTTTATCTTCCACGTGATTAGGTTGTTATTTTCCAAAAATAATAATTTGAACTTTATATTTTTATTACACCTACGAAAATACATAAAGTTATAAAGACCTACCTACATCATTGTATAAATAATTAAATATGTATATTTTAAATACATAATGTGTATAATGTAATACATATTTATGCCAAGGTGGGCGACGTGTTGTTTTTGTAATAAAATCAGAATATCTAAGTAACGGGTGTGAGTCACCGAAGTCTGGGCTCGGGGGAATCCTAACAAGTTGCTTGTGAGGGTGTCTGAAGTCTGAGCTAGTCTTTTCATAACTTAGCCCTAAGTTATAGACGTATTATACTTATATTATATAGCTAGTTATATACATATTACACCAAGTTACGCGAACTTATGTTGTTCATTGTCAACAGACTGCTCTTAAGAGTCTTTGAATGTATTTAGGAATAGACGTTTATAAACTTCTGTTATGAACAATATTATGTAGTTTATTTTTAACAATAATTTGGTCGGAAAAATTATGTTTTTAATTATTAAGATCGCCAGCATCTTTACATTTTATCTTTGTGTTATGTGCTAAGTACAAGAAATTGCTCTCTATATTATTATGTTTAAACAACATTTTAAATGTTACTTTATTTATACAAAAAGCATTATTCTATATATTTCATAATTCCCCAAATAAATCAATTATTTGATATACAAAAATAATAATTTAGAATTAATTGCTACTTGGGACGAAGTATCTGGTTGTGACGGTAACTTTTCACTAATTGGAAGGTATTGAAGGAATCAAGGTCTGCTACTCGCTAATCATTCATCTAATATATTTAATAAGTAAGATTATTCGATTGCTCCTAATCACACTCCGATATAGGTATAATTGCCACCTACACGTAAGCCGTACCTGGCACAAAGCTAGCTATTTATAAACAAAAGTGAGAATTAAGAGACAAGTAATTGCTATTTACTCATGATCTTGAATAATCCAGTCTTTATCATGGTACAATGACTAGTTCGGATGAAAGGTACATAAACCACTTCTATTTTAAATTCAATGTCGAAAGAGTAAATACGAATAATTTATAAACGTTCTAAGCCTCAAAGTGTTCGAGATAAACTAAAAGTATGTTGGAAAGCCACGAGAAATCGAATGGATTCTGAATTTACTAAAAAATAAAGCAACATTCCCTTTTCAACAAAAGCAATGAACGTTCAATTACTGACAAAAACATTAACAAAAAAGGCAATCGTTCTTTTTCATGGTGCCATACAAAGCTTTATATGACACGCAAGTGCTGAACGTAAAATCACAGTGAAAAGCCTTTTTATTTGTTACAACACAGTAAAAAACCTCTGCGGTTGAGTATCAATTAAACGAATAAGATCTCAGCTGTACTTTCGTACCTATAATGTTTATGTCAAGTTTCGCAGTAAAATAAAACTTTTTCTAAGAACGATCTTTACTCGTAGCATTATGATATAGGAAAGTATATGTGGCTTCAGCACATTCAATATAGCTCGCTTAGTAGTGAGATAGAAGTCTATTGAAATACAAAGTAAACGTAACTTTATTTATCTGATATTAGATTTTGGTTGAGTTGTTCGGGAGAAACTTATACGATTTTATAATATTTGTATGGCATTAACATTGCCACGCTGTTATTCCTCAATGGGCCCACCTCCAGAGATGTTAATACAGTACAGCAGTTTACCGTTGTTTTTGAAATGTTTAATTAATTCACAAAATTTTGATCTTCTGTTTTGCCAATTTAGACTAGTCTAGACTATATGCGGCTCTTCGCAAGAGTTTCAAGTTGTGTTGAAACTAGTACATGTGGGTTTACATTAAAATCTTTGCTTATGGGATTAATTTTAGATTTTTAGAAATACTCATTCATAGTGGTCAGCAACACCCAGTGACAGTTCATTACTCAACTTTGGATCGTCTTTACATAAGAAGGTATTCCACAATCTCCACAGTTGAGCGCCGTTTAGAGGTCGCAAATTAAAAGGTTCAGGTTTAAAGGGCGCTTCTAAAAGTTCTCGTTATCTGTCTTAAAAAATATTTTGGCGAGCAGTTTTATGAGTACATGATTGGACAATGTGCAGAATCAAATACCTACTCAGATATAAGTTTGATTTGAGAATTAAATCTAGAAATAATCCTCTTAATATCCAAACAAAGGTTTATCAGTACCTTTTGTGACGACAAGAGCGACGACGAGACGAAATTTAATAGAATAAATACGTATTCACGATGTAAGTATACCTGAATTGGGCCATACATTATGACATGTCCACAAATAGTGCGTGAAGGTTACTTGTAACGAGATGCGAGGCTTTAATATATGTACTAAAATGATTCATGTGAAGTTCTGTCCCGCATTACGACCTCAACCAGTAAGTGCATACCTTAACAGACACGCCACGCGTCTCTACAAAAATGCGAGAAATGTGTGCAATTAGCATAATGTGAGGTCTATGACATAAAACGTGAAATTTGCAAGAATTATGTAACATGTTGCTATAAAATATCACACATTACAACTTGTTCCAGATTTCAACTGGTTATGACTGGAATTAAAACAATGGAGTTGGCATTTCGCAGTATTCTAGCACGCACGATATTAAGTAACAGGCTTAACATTTCTGATAAATGTTAATTAGTAAACGGTTGAAATAAATCTCCAGAGGTTATGCTTGTTATATACAAATAGAGTACGTTATCAACTGGGTGAGTGCTTAGCGTGACCCTAATTACTGACATAAGATGAAAGCCGAAATCTTTACTGACATCGTTATTCTTTACGACTCATGGAGACTCTCTATATGTATCTGTGTTCTGGACAATGTACACATCTACATAGTATATTATACAATGTATTTACGTATGTAAGTATGTAAGTGTGTATATTTTTTTCGAAAAAACTTGTTTGGTACTATGTTAGCATGGTTTTATCTGTTGACTTGCACAGTAGTTTGTACCAGTCTCGAAAATTTAAATGAATAAATGAAGAGGTTCTGTTGTAAGTTTGTTTGAAACAGTCAAGTATAATGTCAAGAATCAGTTGACTGAATCAATTATTTAAATAGAACAGGTTAACTTGCAAAGTGCTGTTGTCGCAATCAGATCACCTTTAACTTTGTCTATAAAACTCTTAGTGCCATTTATCATTAAGAACTTCTACGAAAGTCAATCAAGTCAAGGTTTGAGAGCATAATTAAATGTTTTATACCTTTAATAGAAAATTAATTAAAACAAAAAGTTTGCTATTCAAACGTTATAAACGGCAAGGATTTAAATACAAACTAAAGTTGTACACTGTAAATAACAATATAAATAAAATATGTAATTTACAAACGCTAAAGAATATAGGTCTATGAAGTTACCTTGATAATTTGTTGTCCAGGATCGGAGAAAAATACTTCTTTAACTCGCTTCTTGAGTGGGATAGCATTGTACTCGGCTTTTTCTTGGTGTATGAGTCTGTTGTTGAAACTGGAGCCCACAATCAGGTCCTTACAATGGACGACACAAATGATGGACAACAGCACGACGAGGAACACAGGTGCGGTCTTCATGTTGCTAGTAATATATGTGGCGTTAAGCGTACGGTATTAACTAATGCGACCCGGTCAGTGGATGTCGATCGACTGGTTAACTCGCCTTCGCGTCGTATACAAAAACCCGTTTACCTTACTGTGAGTGTTAGTAAGCGGAAAAGAGTGTTTAGGTGCCAAACAAGGGCTCTCGTGACTGCGTGCAATATTTTATGCCTGTATTTATATATTTGTATTGTACCTACATTCGCTATTGATTTTTCCCAACTTACCTACTTAATTACGTATCGTATTTCACGTTGACAAAACAATGCTGGGGTGAACTGCAGATCATTTACCTGCTAAACTCGGTAGCTAATTGGCACCTTTGTCTAAGACGACTTCATCACAATGAAGTTTGTGATATATTCATCGTAATTGTTCGTAAGGGAGGGTATCAAACGGTCCAAAACGTTAATTGTAGTAATTTCGTAATTGTACGACCACTTAGCACTAGCTGTTCTTATTTGATAACTGGATAATTGGGTTTGTTATTGTAAACATACTGTGAGGGTCGTCGTCACAAGGACGGCATAATTGTGATACTTCATCCGTATACGAATATGGCTCGAACGGAATACATGTTACGTCAAGGTTCTTTGAAGTCCATGTAGGTCATATTCAAATTCCAATCTTATAACTTCGACTTTTAAGATGTTTTGGTGATATCACACATGTATAATGAATGTGGCTTTGAGATATTTCTTAAAAGTCAGATATTGGAAGGGAAGATCAATGTTGTATTGTCTGCTTTTTCAAATTTTGACATATTTTTACCTACTAAATGGATGGAAAGTTAGGTAGTTACTTCGAATCATACAATTGCAATGGAGCCTGGTTTAGAAGTCACAACATTTAAACAAACAAATAAGTGTACTTTCTAAACGAAAGGTTGAAAATATACCATGGCAGTTTGACAACGAGGCAAACTTCTGCCATACTTGCCGGATAGTGTTGTTCTCATTTTATTCATCAAAAATGTTGTTTCACACATATTACGCTGCAAATTGTCTGTTATAGACGCAAAGGTCAATGATGATAGAATATAATATATTTTTTGGATGCTCAGATTTTGTTTTTATAACGGTAAGGTTTTCAGGTAGGCGTTCATCGATCGATCTAGGTTACTCTTTAGTGGAAGTAAGGCTAAGACTAAGTTAGTGTTTTGTCTATTTATTGGATTTTCAACACAAACGTGCTTCGATGCTCGAATGGTACATTTAGGCGTGTAAACTCGTTATCTAAGTATTTGTTTCTTTTCTTACTTTTTAGCAAAAACACGCTCAGTTTGCAAAGATTTAAGTTATTTCATTTTGAATATTCCCCTGCAGCTTATCAGAATTCTTTGCGTTAAATTCCCGATAACCTCGACGGAGTGTATCGGTTATTTACATTTTGCTAACAAAGTGTTCTCGCTTCTTTTATGAAATCGTGTTCAAGGAAATTTTCATATTCTATTAGGAATTTTAATTCTGGGTGGCAGAATGGATAACTGAATTTTTACTTCACTACCAACAAGGAAATTTTACGGAGTGTTGATTTATTAAACGGGGAGTGAGATAGCTTCTTAAGTACGCTTACATTTTAAGATCACGTGTTTGAAGTGTTTATTGATTTACGTACTTTGAATTCAAAGTCAAAGCCAAAACCATATCTAATAATTGACTTCTATTAGACCAGGAAGGCACTTCCAAATTCCAATTAAATATGTATGTTATGGAACGTACGTTAAGGAAATCTTCAGTCATTCATATAAGACTGATATGACTGGTAAAAGTTTGTTGTATGGAACAAATACACACCTCCTGATACTTCAAAACAAACAGCATACATGAATCGATGGTTGACTGGTTGAATGTGGAAGAATGCTACCTGGCACTAAGTTTGTAAGATAAATACATATTAGTCTAGGCCTGTGCTAAAGCAAATAATCTGGAGGCTCATATAAACGCCTGCTTCGTAGTGTAAAGCAACGTGACGCTAAACTTGTAGTAAGTACTCGGTAGTGGCTCTATATCAGATGTTTACTATTATGACTAAGCGGTAATAGGTACATTTACACGCGGGACTTTACAAACAGCCCACAAGTTGGGTTTCGGGGAATATATCTCTAGTGATAGCTATACAAACATCGGTCAAATAATCCTGATACTCGAGACATGCACCTTATTTTACAAACATGTTTAACTTTCAACTTTACACAAAAATAAAGCAAGAAGGAAAACCTAATCTCGTTACTGACTTGCCGTTATCGTCTTCTTACTTGTCAACACTTATTCAACGTGTTTAAACTACTAAAATAACGAGGTAGCTTATCTGTTTGCGAAATTCGTGTAGCAAAGCCATCTAGGAGGTAGCGCTCTAAGCATAGGTAATTTATTTCCTGCAAAGAAGCAAAGTATGCCGAGCCGGAGCGTTTGTACACATTAACGTGGCACACCTCATGAAAAATCGCTTAGGAGACGCTGGAGTTCGTGATATGTTATATTACAATGAATGCTTTCATCCCTGTTCTTTTGGGCACGTTTAAATTACGCTTCGTTACCTTATGGAACTTGTCAAGTATACAAAATAATTTATCTGACCGTACCTCGATGTGAGACATTTTACATTCAGTTTATCTCACATAATAGAATATGTAATTTTGTGAGAAGCTCATTCACGATAATTTCGTGAACAGTCATGTGTAAAAAGTTTAAACGGTTGACGGAATCCAAAAGCGATTATCTACAAAACTATTTGCAAGATATCGCGTTCGCCTATAGTACAAAAGTAAGTTTCTTTATTAAATAATATTAGATAATAATGGTATTTAGAAGTAAACTTGGTAGAAAAGAATTTGAACAAATATGTATTATCCATATAAGATCTGTGTATTGATATCATATTGCTATTATTTAATATTCTTTTCAACAAATATCACAGAATAAATGCATGCACTAAACTAGGAATAATAAATTATATTTATACAAAAACAACTAAAATGAGGTAAATAGGTATCAAAAAATAGAGGTCATTTTCATTGGAAGTGGTCATCGGTTTTTGTTTTCCTTATATTTCTGAAAAAGAGTTATTCCAATAATGAATCATTTTGTTTTGCTGAAAATCACGTTAAGTATACGTACTGTTTGTTCGACGTGAGAACCAATAAAACGTAACGTCCTTTATTCCGCTAAAGAATAATAATGATTGATTGCCTGTCCTTTATTTGCACATAAATATGATACAATAAGATGACACGAGAAGATTACTGAGTTCCTGGTTTAAAAAAATGAGTATGGCTAATAAAATTAAAACACCTTAAATATTTTTCATTAGAAAATATTTTGGCATCTTCTTTCCTGAACAGTAATTTGTACCGCAGTGATAAAATGTATGGATTGTACAAAAGTAGTTCATATTTTTCTTGAATATATTTAAGTAGGTATATTTTTTAGACTTAATACAAAGCCTTGAACTTAAACCTAGTTCAGGATCTATTAATTTCGTAGTATAAGAATAGAAGGCCGTAGTTCACGAATTTTCTTTTTACTCTACCACGGCCAAAGCAAAAGAAAGCAGTGATTTATGTTTATTAATAAAAGTAAATGTATTTTTGTTTAAATTTCAGCTTATTTTTTTGCCTTAGTTGTAGTGGAACATATTTTTCTTTTCTTTCATTCTGTGTATTGATCTAGTAATTGTATACAGTTAAATATTTAGTCTTAGCTCACACCCAACACGAGTATACTGAAATGCCTATAACAGGATTAATTGGATTCATTTTGAGTTTCAGATAGCAGGAGTAACAATAACAAGTAGAGTATGCATTCTCACAAAAGTATTCTGAATCTTCTAGGATACTATAATATAAATAGATTTACGTTTATCAGAAAGCTGACATTAAATAGGCTATACTCAAACATCGTATACCTTCCACTGCATTCTAGATGTGTATACACGTAGCTTGACGGTTTCGTGGCCCCGCTTTTGTAGTGCATCGGGAATGTTTGCCCATAGAAGTAGATTGTTTCTACGCAATGATACGTGGGATATGAAGTGCTCTGGTGGCCATCTCAAACAATATCCTCCATCTGATAGCTAAATCAAACAATTTATCTAACTATGCTCACATTTATATTGACCGCAAATTGGAAGTTGGGTTAAATTTTATGCAACCAATAATAAACTGCGTTTAAAAAAATCGACTTCAAAAATCATCCACAAAATATCTAAAATTAAAATCAAGAAATAAACTGTTATTCATTGTACTGCCTACCCACTGATAGTTTAGAAGTCGGTGCCACAAGTCCTAAACGAAATTCATTAAATTATTTAGAATTATGTAGATATATTATCGGTAAGTTATATTATGTTACTTTTTAGTTTAATAAGTGTAGGTAAGTAGAAAAGAGATAACACAAAGTAATAAAATGTTGACCACGTCTATTTAAACCTAACGAGATTTGTTTTCCATAATCAGGTCTACATAATAGCCTCAAAGAATACTAAGATCGATCCATATGTGGGTATACTTTTGAATAAATTTTCTTTGTTGTACCTTCCATCATTAGCTTAAGGATATAAAATCATCATCAGACATAAATAATTGGATGTCTTTATAACATCGTCAGAATAAACAGTGCTTATAATTTGAAGGTTGCCTTCGATTTTTTGGGATCTGATCATCAGGTGATCACTAGGTAGCAACAATACCAACTTGAAAAATCAAAAAAAAAATCACGGATTTCGTACCAGTATTGACGTCAAACATTTCATCTCATACTCATTTCTGGCTTGTTTCTTTTTTTGTTCGTAATAAATGTCATTGTGGTAGAAAATCTTCGAAGTTTCGTCCGAAACTTCGTTTTTCGTCGAATCAGAGTAGACCTACAGAAATGTTTAAGTAATGTGAGATGTACATGTTTATGAAGTATTGTGATAATGACATCGTTCAAGTACTTATAATGCTCATACAATAAAAACTACTTGGGATCAATTTTTCAATGCTCAGATAAATTTTACCTGAAGAATAACTTTCAATATTTGACAATTCTTCCATACTAAAAACTGTCAACTGTCAATTTTATTCTACAGTTAAAAATTAACTGATTTTTGAAAAATCGGCCATTACTGAACCAATCTGAAACAAAATATTATGGGACCAAATTTCAGCTATT